TTCCTCCCACTGCTAAAGACCCCTATGCGCAAGCGAATTATTGAAATAAAATTGAACCATGTGTTAGTCCTGAAATAACCTAGTTTGTGTCGAGTGGACGTTAAACCCCATTTCTCTCTCTCTCTCTCTCTCTCTCTCTCTCTCTCTCTCTCTCTTCCATGTTGATGCTAACATTTAACAGGTAATGTCAAAAAAATGGCAAGACTATATATCTCAAAATGTTAAAAAAAAGAAATCTAAAGAATGATTTCTTCATTTCCTGCAAATGACATGCCCGAGTCAAGATTTTAAAAATGTAATGGCAGTGTAACCCAACTTTACCTTAAAAAAAACCCCTCCCAATTTGATTTTTCTTCAAATCCAAAGAACTTTTTACTTTTCCTGCAATACTGGGTTACAAAGTAATTACAAGTCGGAAATGGGCTGGAAAAATACAGAATTTTTTTTTAGCAGATTTATTTGGAATTTGAGCCTCGAATACAGTTAGCAGAAGTCCTGTTTCTCCAAATTTATGTGGAATTTGAACCCTCAGATATTGTGAACAGAAATCCTGTCTACATGTTAAAGGCATCTTTGATTATAGATAATGAGGAGAGATTGGTCTTGTATAAATAATCTCACATATCTTCCTTCCGCTTCTGTTAGTTTTATTAAATGTCGTGTGTATGTGTGTGTCGCTAATTTTATCGGCAGAGATAGTATGTATTAAAATCGGAATAAAAAAAATTGATCACATAATTTCTAGTTTTTATTAGGAAGTCTGATGTTGTGGGCTTTCTGCTGTCGAGATGTTGGTCGTGTGTAAATGCTGGTTAATAGTGATTACATCAAATGTTTTATGGTTACCATGGTTATTGTATTAGCGAGATGTGAAGTGATGTGGGATAAATTCACCAGTAACTGTGTTATGTATACCATGAGCATCCCTTTCTTGTCATAGAGAGGCTTTCTAGCCAATAATTTGTGTAGTTGTCATAGTAACAAGCATATTGTGAAGGTTAGATGTGGAGTCTGGTTTGGGAAAAGGAAGGAAAAATGGTGGAAAATTCTTTGTCCACTTAAAGAAAAATAATTTTGTTTAAGAGAGAGAAAGATGGAAGGTAATGACATTTATCTTAAATAACTAAACATGTAGTTGTCTTATTATCAGTTGTATTAAAACATGATAGATGGATTAACACTATTCTCCATTTTATCTACTCTAGATTTTTTAACTGTCTATACACTACTATATCTTGGTGTCTATTATTAACAGTATTATTATTGAAGAACCATTTTATATCAGATCTTTAGTGGTGATAAAGTCAGTTATTATGAAAGTCTGATATCTAATTCTCCTTGTTATTCCCCCTATTTTAATGTGTCTCGATATTACAAGTGAAGAAAACCATTTAAATCATTTATTATGAATGCTTGATATGTAAATTAGCAATATTAATTCTTGTTCTTATCCCCTTTATTTTAACGTCTCTCGCCCTTTATTTTAACGTTTCTCGCCCTTTATTTTAAGATCTCACCCTTTATTTTAACGTGTCTCACCCTTTATTTGATGTGTATTATTTGAGTGAAGAAAACTAGATCCTTACTGTATGAAAGCTTGATATGTAAACTAGCGGTATTAATTCTTGTTGTTATTAACCCCATTATTTTAACGTGTCTCGATATTGCAAGTGAAGAGAACTAGATCTTTCCTGTTCGTAACATCAGTTATTATTACCTGATATATAAATTAACAATATTATATAAGTGTGAAGATATCCATTTAAATACCTGATCTTTAAATCAGTTAATATGAAATATTTAATTTGTTAATTAAAAGTAAGAGATCTTTAATTTTTTAAGAGATCCATTTGAATACTAGATCTTTATATAAGTTATTATGAAATCTTAATTTGTAAATTAACAGTATTATATGCGCAAGGAGCCATTTGAAATATAATGAATCTATTGTCGTTATAAAATCAGTTTTTATGAAAGACTCGTATGAAAATTAACAGTATTAAAAGAGTCTTTACAAAATGTCTCGATGTATTTTATAATTGATAAGACAGAGTAGATGGTTAGAATATAATAAACTGAATGTTTTCGTACCGATGTAACAATTGTAAACCTGTATTTCATATTGATTAATGTTTATGGTATTTAAAGTCGAAGCTAAGTACTTATGGCGGACTGTGACGGCGTCTCTAGATGAGTATTATTGTCATTAGTGACTGTCAATGACAGACAATAGCTTTTTATTCTGGATACTTATTGTATTTTTATGGTGACTTTACATTATTATTAAGAAAGGTTTCAATTTGTTAATGGCGATATCTTCTCCGTATTTGTTCATTAGTGTTTCGATTATCTACAATTTATAGTCGTATTAATTGTCAATAATTGATCATAATTGATACAGACATATAAACATGGCTAGGTGTTTGTCATCTTAATGTTCATTTGATTTGAATTAAGTGGTCTATATATATATTTTTAAAAAAATATTTTATTTTTCTCAAATAACTATTTATTCCTGCAAGGTTGTAACTGATTAGTTTGTTTGAAGAATGATCATTCGTTGAGATGGTGTCAATTTTATGTCTGACTTTCAACATGTTATACGATGGATTTAACTGGAAATTGAAGAAGACGATTTTGTTATGCTTTTATCCCGAGCATACATCAATCATTACTCTTTAGGAACTGTTATAAATAGTTTAATACAGTGGTTTATATTAACACCACCCATTTCCAACCACTTTTTGCATAAATCTTTAATAAATTATAACATGGACCATCAAAATAGCCATTCTGATCAAAAACGTGCTACGTAGTACATAAACCCATTTCTTAGTGAATTTTGTATGGCTATCCTATATCCCTGTGGGCGCCCTTGCGGACACCTTTAATTTTGCACACGTGCAATATTTTGAAGAAGCATGGGGCATTTAATGCCTTAGAGGTCTCTGTCAGTTACAGACATATTAACTTCCAATTAACAATTCATAAAACTTTATCATGGTTTTCAAGAAGTTTAACGAATGTTTGTGAAAAGTACCTTACTTGCAGTAAATCAGTGCATGGATGGTTGATAATATGGTTATTGTTTCAAATATGATGAATTTAAATGTCTCTTAAATACAGGGGTGGGTGGGTGGTCTAGTGGTTTTAACGTGTGTGTGTGCAATCATAAGGTCTGTCATTAAGTCGAGTGGTGTGGTTTTCGTTTCTCCACTTGAGTGTGACAAGGAGTAAGAATAAGATCACCTGTCCAACCTCATTGGTTTTCTCTGGGTCCTCCAGTTTCCTAGCACTGCTAAAGACCCCTATGCAAGCAATTTATTGAAATAAAATTGAAGCATATGTTAGTCCCAAAATGACCCTAGTTTGTGTTGAGTGGACGTTAAACCCTTTCTACTAAATGCGAGTCTGGAGATAGGGCACCTGTCACAGACACTGTCAGACACAAGTTAAAGATTTGTCCAACAAAATCCTTCTGGTGCCTGTCATTTTGTCTGCCACTGATTTGTCTCCTTTTTTCTTCCTGTTGATATTATTAATAATTGTCCAGCACAAAAGTTCAAATGTCTGATATTTTGTCATGTACACCAGACCTGGAAATGCTTATTTCAGTTCGTTCAGTATGTCAGTATTGTTCAAACCAAACTCATAAACTAAAAACAAAAACTCAGCAATAAATCTGTTATATAATGAAATAATAAAGTGTAAACTTCAACAAGGCTCATATTATTTTAATAGATTGGTATGTCTTACTATTTGTCTAGATGCTAAACAAACAAACTACTCAACTTAATAGGGTTATTTTCACACAATTACATTTATCTTAATAAGCCTTATACTTTATCATAATACAGACATTGATCCCAATTAAGGTTTTGATAGACACACAGACACTCAAACTAGCAGTTGGATGTAGTAGGTCTGAAAAACCCTTTTTGGTAAATTATTCTTTTTTTTACAATGAAATATAGTACATCTTGGTAAATGAAATAAATTCATTAAGATTGGACTAGCTTGTATAAAAAAGGTTAGCAGAATTGTTATTACTTTATTTGCTTTGTCACATATATTGAAATTGATATAAACCAATGTAAACTTCAAATGGCTATAACTTAAGTTAGAATTGATAGATTTGAATATTATTTTCTACTATCAGAACTTTGGTTTGTGCATGTTCTTATACTCCGCTTCGACTTGTATACGGATGAAAGTAAAAAAAAAACCCAGTAAAATATGACGATTCTCCACATTGACTTATACCCAGTAAATTACGGCAGTCTTTATTTTGGTATGATGTAGCTTCAATATTAAAATACAGTTCTGACATCTACTTAAATTTAAATAGTATTTACACCATGGGCCCGATATTCCATCCACTCTTGTACCCTCACCTCCAGTACATAGAGAAGTAGGGTTTTAAAATTAAAACAAACTAACATACTTTCTAAAAGATTAAGGAGTGGCTTATCTTAAATCTAAGGGTTTTATGAAGTGTCCCCATTTTGTGTCCCTAATCTGCCGTGTTGCTTTTAAAGGATTTAATTGTTGTGTGGCTCGTGGCTGTAACTTGTCGCTGCATTCACAGATATTTGTTTGTATGAGAGAAGGTTGGATCAATTTATAGATTATAACCCAAGTTGAAAGTCCATCAGTAGTTTGGTTTAGTTGATTGTATTAAGGACAGGGTCAACTGTTTACTTTAATGTTATCAGTTTAAGCATCAGTAACTGACTTATATAATGCACGGTTGCTACTGTATATATATATATATTTACTAGAGTATAAATTAGGTTAGATATGTATATATATAAGTACACTGTATGTATACATGGTTATTTATCTAGGATGGACCCCATTCATCATGATTTAAATTATTTCTGTCTTCTACCCTGTGACAAGAAATTTACAGTTGATAAACATCTCTTTTAGTGACTGGCATATCTAAGAAGTAAAACCTATTTAGATTTGGCTTCTTGCCTTTGGGGAAAAGCTACATAATTGGGGCCATAGAGTAAAAGAGAAACTTGCTTGCTGCATCTCTATTTCCAAGGCAACCACACATGTAACTATGGAAACATGAAGCTTAGTGTGTATAGGGGCACCAGCTGGCTGTATTGATGTATCACATGGGTGTCTGAGTTGAGAGCTTTCAACCAACCAACTTGCTCGGATTGCCCAATTGTTGAGATGCTCTATTACACATGACACATTCTCTCTCCCAGCATGCCTACGGTTCACTGAGCTTAATGTCACTGACGACAGTCGCCATCTTCCTTTTCCCTGCAGCAGCAGTCAGTTGACAAATTTATTTATGAACTTTTCTTTACAAAGTAAAAGATTGTGAATTAGGAGTTATTAAACCTTTAGTTTAAGAGGTAAGGACATTTCTTTTTTTGTCCTATTTTAACTTCCTCATAACATTGATTACTTTATTTTATTTACATAATCTGAGACTCACAAACTTTCCCGAACTTTTCTAACTAGTTGTTTACCTCACCGAATTATGACAAAACTAGGTTTTCATATTTGTTATATATATTTGTGAAAAAGTTTAAAGTTTTCCTCAGCTTTACTTTCCTATAGACCACATGTTGTCAAGTTAGATTAATGTTAAGAGACTGTTTAGCTACTTAAGAGAAAGTTGACACATATATTCTCCAATCCAGATAACTTGGTGATGTGGCTATGACTGGTGTCAGCCATGTTGTTCAACATGTACATTAAGTTGATCTGAAAAATATATACAAAAATACTCCATAACATTTTTAGAGATATGTTAGAATTTTTTATCAGTATTGACTTTTTGTTTACGCGTGACAGTTTTATAATTGATACTGGTTATATTTGTATAAAACCTATACCGGGTCACATGATTTAAAGGGATATACATATTCATGAGATGATGACATCTGAGGCTTATTGGCACTATTAGCTACAGTTCACAATTATAAAAGTATATTAATTATTATTCAGTATTTATCAGTTGAAATTTTATCGGTATATCAGGTTTGGTGATGTCGTTTATTAAAAGACACTACCGGTATATTGAGTATTGAATTTTATTGTTCTAATCAAATTGTATTTCTTATCAGTTTATGAGGCTTTTGTTAAGGAAAAAGAAGGCATTTTTTTTTAAAATCATAAAATGAAAGATAACAAAATATGATGGAGTCCTAGCTAATCTCTCTATAAAACACATGTTACCACCATAAATAGTAGACCTGGAACATATGATGTCTGATGTGTGGGTTTGAAGCTCTGTGTCTGATGGGATGACAAAGAAATTAAGTCTAGTTGTTTGGATGGGACAAAAAGTAGAGGTTCTGTGTACAAGTTGGTTGAGACGTGACAACAAGGAAAGTAACTCTAGTTGATCCAATGAGTCCACCCCCTTTTTCATTCCATGTCACCATAGAAATAATGTCGTTGAGACATTAAGCTCTATTCTATGTTATACTTGCTGTCCAATTAAGAAAAATAACGTCCATCAAATTACTGAAATCCTTTAAAACAGCTATTTGTTCATGGAATAAAAATAATTGTTAATCTTAAAAGTTATCCATGCTTAAAATAAGAGACCTGCATCTCTAGGAAATAAAGACGACTGTAATTGAAGACTGTGATTAGAGATATGGGTATTTTTAATTGAAGTGATTTACGAAGGATATCTGGTTTCTACGACTAGCCTGTTACAGGGCTGAAGATGGAGTGGCTTATTCTTGTCATTGCATGTTGTAAAACATTTGTTTAAAAGAGATAACTTTAAAGTGTTTATGAAAACAGAGCTGTTGTCCACTATCTAGTAAAGATAACAATACTTGACATCTCCATCTTTTCTTTACAATTTGAACATGGCGTAGGGTCAAACTCTAACACATTCTTATTTCAAGTATTGTCAAATCTTGTAGAGAGTTATCAGCATCAAGTTTTGTTTAAACTTGAATATCTTTTATATGCTTTCATTTCAAGTTAATCATTTATTGGGAGTTTAGTAGACAGGAGGGTCTTGGTGAATATCCGTAAGGTTTTGTATAATTTCATTATTCAAAGTTAAAGGATATATATTGGTAGTTTGATCTGGATGTAAATGTAATTATAGTGTATTTGAGCATTGAATTTGTTCTTAGTTTTCCAGTATTTGTAGTTTCAAATTAATATTTTTTTTTTTCTAACACTTTATTTTTTCAATAAATACATAATATGAAGATACAACATGATTTTGAGATGTGAAAACAAGTAGGAAGTTATATATATAAATTTATCCATCTCTTGTGAGAAATTATTTTACAAAATATAAATAGATTGTTTAAAATTATAATCATGGTTTGAGATTATTTCTGTCTTTAAAGTTAATTGGGTTTTCGGAAAATTGGTGGCAATAACTGTAGAGGGATACGGCAGTAATTGAAATATGGGGTTACTTAATTGTTCATTCTTTAAGAGGCTGGATTTTATAGTGTAATTGATTCATGGTCTTAAAGGGGGGATTATCTCAAAAATCCTTGTTATCCTTGTTGAAGTTTCATATTGGCCTGTAATTCAATTGATTTTGATGGACGATGTCGACGTCTCGGATTTGGTATTTGATCAAAGGGTGATACAGGTAGCTAGAGAACTTGTGCTTCTCGTCCCGATCAAAGATAGAGTTATAGATTTAGGAAAGGAGAAGGATTGAAGTAAACAGCCAACAGTTAGTTTGTTAAGCTAGTGAGAGAGAGGTTGTCACCATGGTAATGTAACCTCGCCAGCTGGATTACACAGCAGGTGAATTTATGAGACTATGAGGCCATGTGGCTTGACTGTCGCCATTTATATATACCACAAAGCTTAAACACTTATTACACTAAAATAAACTGCCATAATCTTTTCACTTAAAAATTTTTCGTTTTTTTTTTTTCCTGAATTGATTGTCGGGTAATCAATAGAAGAGTACATCGTCATGGTTTCTTGTAGCCGGGCTCATTTACTAATCTTTTCACTTTAGTTAGATCTGCGATAACACAAAGAGTGTTATGTTAGCATTCTCTCATCTCCATCCATAGAGAATTTACACCAAGCAAAATGTAATTATTAAGTTTAAAGATGTAATTAAGGTTAAAATTAAGATATGTAATTAAGGTTAAAATTAAAAAATGTAATTATTACGGTTAAAATTAAAAGATGTAATTATTAAATTTAAAAATGTAATTATTACGGTTAAAATTAAGAGATGTAATTATGAATTTAAATTTTAAGATATGTTCCCTAGAGCTTAATATTAACCTAGAGCTCTCTCTCTCTCTCTCTCTCACCAAAGACCAAGGTTCAGGAAAATATGTAAAAGCCTAATACACTCTCTGTAAAAGACATATACATGTATAAGCCCACAAAGAATTAGTTATTAGATAGTATCAACCAATGTGTATTATTTACACATTACTGGATCCATTTATCATCTTTCATACTTGTCTTGTACATAATTGTTGCAACATTAAAAATTGTTGATGGTCTGGAAAAAATTTTGTAGTTTGGATTAATTTGACATTAATGTTTATGTATTTAGGTTTGCAACTGTCAAGGAAGTATATCTTTATAGCATTAAAGGCTTTAGTCAAATGATACTATGAAACACAATGGACCATATTTCCAGTAGGCGGTCATTACACTGGCAGCAGATGTAGTTATATCAATCAGCCACAATAGTTAATGTTCAAATACACTTGATTACAAACTGATAATCATTACGTTTTTATCATTCATTTAAAAAAATATTAATAATATTATGAATTTATTAGAGAATTTAATCAATATTACGTTTTTATCATTTATTTAGAAATAAATATTAATAATATTATGGATTTATTACAGAATTTAATAAATATTACGTTTTTATCATTTATTTAGAAATAAATATTAATCAATAATAATCAATATTTAAATGACTATTTATTTTATTTTTCTTCAAGAAACAAATTAAGAGCTCAGTGATATGATTTCACAATGAGATATCTGATCCATTCAATTGATTTGATAGTACTTTTGTTATTTATTGCTTACAATGTCCGTGAGTTTGTGTTTTGGTTTTCTCTTTGGTTGTTGTGTATGGTATGGTTATCCTGCAATTTCTATGAGGTCAACATTATTAATTGAGCAATTCTAGTTTCCATCCAATAAAATCACTGGTATCTTGGTAACTTTAGTAAGGTGTGCGTGTAATGGATAATTACATTTTGTGTTTAAACTATAAATCTACATTAGTCATTGGTGTAAGGAAAGATTACATGAAAGTTGCCATTTTACTTGGAATAAAGCAAATTTGATATGATTCAGGTCTTGACTTTTAATTAAATAAGATTTTTTTTCCTATTTTTCAGGGGTGGGCTTTTCACATTTCAACATGGCGCCCATTAGAGATGTGGACGAAAGTGATGCATCAATGCGGCAACGACTTGTGAACAGTTTAAGTCAAAGTTTTCCGGGTAGTGCATTATCAAAAGCTTTAGCGTGTATGGACTCTGATGACGAGGATTTAAAAGACCCGCTTAGTAGCAGTTGTTTCGCTGAAATGAGGCTGGAAAAAGGTGAACTCGACGACGACGAGTTGACGAGCTTGTCATGGCTTCAAGAAACAGATTTGTTAAAAAGTTTATCGGTGGAGGAAGAAGAAATTAAAGAGGAACAGAAAGAAAATGAAGAATTCAGTAAATTGAACGGTGGTTTGTTAGCACAATCACACCCTCCACATGTGCCATACAATCCTCAAAAACATATAAATAGTAAACCCCCGTATTCGTTTAGTTGTCTTATATTTATGGCTGTAGAAGATTCCCCGCAGAAACGTCTGCCTGTTAAAGACATTTATAACTGGATTCTCTCCCATTTTCCGTACTTTCAAAATGCACCGACAGGTTGGAAGAATTCTGTACGACATAACCTATCATTGAATAAGTGCTTCAAAAAAGTGGATAAAGAGAAGGGACAGGTTAGTATTTGATTTTAAAGAATATTTTATATTTTTTCTGTGTTAATAGTAAGTGCAGGGGGACCACACCACTCACAAACAATTACACAAGACAAACTTACAGACAGCGCACAATAAACGCACATATAAGTGGAAAAGACTAAATATTGCAAAGGAAGGGGAGTTGGGTGACCGGTTGGTCTAAAACATGGTGTTGTTTCTATCCCACACTTGTACATGACAAGGAGTACGGTTGCCTGCTTAACCTTGTGGCTGTTCTCCGAAATCCTCCGGTTTCCTCTCATGGCTTTCCTCCCATGGCTAAAGACTCCTATCCGCAAGGGAATTATTGAAATAAAATTTTACCCTATGTTAGTCCTGAAATGACCTAGTTTGTGTTGAGTGGAGGTTAAACCCCATTTCTCGCTTTATAAATGTCCATATTATACATGCAATTTGAATAAGGTCAGTGTTCAGGAAAGCTTATAGTCTTAGAAAAAAATTTATGGACCGATTCTGAAATCATTGCAAAAAACTTCCCAAAATCAATGCTTTTCGTTGCTCAACTTTTTATGGCAAATAGTTTCCGTAACAGCTATTTTGGCTGCACTGTTGAATAAATTCGTAGATACATTTAACCCATCAAGTTAACTAATTGTTACATACACAGGATGAGCCTGGGTATTGTACATCATATACATCAAAGGTTTTAATTAATGTAATTAAGGTACTTTAATTATGTGTTACCTGGTTACTAATCGAAAAAAATTTTAAGTAAACATTCCAAATTATTACATCAGGTTAAAGTCTAAAGTAAACAGTCACTAATCTTTCAACTAAAATAAAGGTTTTTATTTACATTTAATTATGTGACTAGCAATTCTGTGAGACAAGAGAGAATTTAAAACTATTAATGGAATGAATCCCAAGTCAGGCCCAAAAGAGTTTGTACTGGCCCCAGACTGAATGCCAGTCCTTGTTATAGAATTGCTGTACAGATATATTTTAACATTTATTTCCCATTAGTAGAGAGAGAGAAATGAGGTTTAACGTCCACTCAACACATATTTTAATAATTCGCTTGCACATAGGGGTCTTTAGCAGTGGGAGGAAACCGGAGGACACAGAAAATCCACGAAGTTGAACAGGCAACCCTACATACAACCTGGGAATCGAAACCACGCCAGTTAACTCAATGACAGACCTTATGACAGCGTCCACATGCTAACCATTCGGCCATCCAACCCCCCCCCCCTTTCCCATTAGGACATAATTTAGTGTATCGTGTAGATACATCCAGCAGCCAAATTATTTGGCTGCTGGAAGTATCTAAATGATAAACTTATCTATTTTATTAACTTCTGGGATAGGATTCCTTAAAGTAGCTAAGTCTTCGACATTAAAAACACGAATTATTGATGTTGTGATCTTGCCTGGAAAAGATGGGCTTCTGATACCCAATATTTAAGACAAAATAAACATTTTCCCATTAGTACACCAATCGTGTACCATAATACATTTCAGTGACTTTTGTAACAAGTGACTCCATATTCCTATTGGTGTAGACTGGAATAAACGCTAGAGATTGCCAAACATAACTGATTAGAAATTACAGTAAAAACAGAAACTTGAATGAAAATAAGTTTATAAGTGTACTAGCAGAATGCCCGGCTTCGCTTGGGGTTATAACCCCGAAACCGGAAGTGGTAGACTAACGCCACCTGGCCTATGTTACTCCCCGGTCCGAGCTACCCCTATACCCCAAATTTCAGACTCGGGGCAGACCTAGTGTAGCCGCCAACCCCGAACAGACAGACAAATATTAGTATAGATACATTCATAGTACATTAATTATATGTGTCAATTTCTAGGTCCTAAATATTAGTGATTTAGCTCCTTTAAATATGTAGATGAGAACCATTGATGAGAATTGGTATTGAATATGTGACAGTACGTACTGGATGTTTGCTTGTTGACAAGCGAATTATTGAAATAAAATTAAACCATATGTTAGTCCCGAAATGACCTAGTTTGTGTCGAGTGGACGTTAAACCCCATTTCTCTCTCTCTCTATTCTTCATTAGGAAATAGATTGTTGTTCGTTGGCTAAATGAAATCGGAAAAGTAATTATATGATCAAATTTTTCCGGTCAATAAAATGTATTGTTATACAGTGTTGAAGGAAATGACTTGTTGCTGATTAAATTGAAAAGTGTTCATTTGTGAGCATTATTGATAATCTATTGGCACCTGAGTCAGGTACTATATTCTCTATAGAACAAACTACCGCCAGCCTTTTCACATTTTAATAGGCTGTACATGAGAATACAATACAGGAACTACAAATACTCGAGCGACATGCAAACATTACATTCATTACATTTGTAGGTATGTCCATATAGCATTAAAAAAACACTTGCTATCTCAGCCCTCACTTATATTGATCTGAAGGTTTTCATGATAATATTGTGATAAGAGAAGATTAGTACTAAAATTAGGTTATACATGTATTAAACTGTAGCATAATACTCTAGGACAAGACATTGGATCAAATCTTAAAACTTGAAACAACTGACATATTGTTAAATAAATATATATATTAAACTTTACTCTAGGACAAGACACTGGATCCAAATCTTAAAACTTGAAACAACTGACATTGTTTAATATTAAAGATACATTATGGGAGATTCGGTAACGAGTTGGCAGTTCTCACTATAATAGTTAAAAACTAGACAATTTGGTGAAAATTTCATTCAAATTGATCCACTATGAACCGAGAACTAAGCGACTGAAATTCCCATAAGCCTCGGTCATCATTACTAAAGTCAGTACGATAAACAGCATAGTCTCGATTATCCATTTAATCGTTTAATAGAGAAGGAAAGTTATGCAGTAAATCGGCTTACAATCCAATAAAGATCGCAGGCTAGCGCTGCCATCTAGAGTTGATTATGGCCTGGATAGGTTAATTAATGTCTAATTAATGATTTAGATAACATTTCAGGCCTAAAGAAAGACCTGAAATAGGCAGATTTAGCTCTTGCATAATGCATGTTTAATAAAACTTTAAGGAGACCATATCAGGGTCAACAGGAGAAAATGAAATGAAATGGGGTTTAACATCTTAATTTTTCATTCCCTCCAGTGTGATATAAGAAAAATGTTGGCAGGAAAGGAGCGATAAGGCCTGCTCTTAATTTTGTATACCACAGGTTTCTTTTACGTGCACTCAAATGTGTACATGGGAGAAAAATCTTTTTCGTTCCATCCGAGCGACTAGACCCTCTGTCCTGGGGAAATCCCGATGAACTTTCTAGAACACAGTACCTCCCACACTGATCAGCAGTGAATATTTGCTAGGCCGCTACAGCCAATGATTGAAGCCGCGTGCTGTGACGGCACGTGTTAAAGGCAGTCATCTTTTACAGAGATATTAGAGAAGACTCGTAATTTTCTGTAAAACAGATTGAGTACCTCCAGGTTAGCAAGCCTTCGCTCTGCTCACTCTGAAGATTAGATTAGATATATTTTATTGTGACAAAAGGCAGAATTGAAAACATAGAAAACAGGAAGTCAAAAATAGAAAAATAATTTAATTTCAATACCAGGACATTGACAGTTAAAAGAATGTAAATATATCTATTTTTGTGTTATTAATTCTATATTTAGTAACAATATAAATTTTAACCCACAAACTGTCCAACACATCAGTTTATTTCAGAGATTAAATTATTGAGATTTGATTTATTGAAAGACATTGTGTAAGATTATGTTATGAGATTTTAGCCAAAGTTATAAAAGCAATTATTTATAATACCAAGAGTTATAAAGTAATTATTTATTATATAACTACTGCCTGGAGAGACAGACACACCTTATTGTATAGTAGTATCATAAAACATATATTTAATGGAGATGCAACTCTTTGATGTACATGCTGTCTATGATAAAAGATAACTGTGATAAATGTTGCACATTAACAACTTGGTTTATTAATGTAGCTAAGTCTCTAACTCAGTATCATCCAAAATCTTCGACATTGTAAACACAAATTATTTATCAATTTAAATCCTTGTTGTAATCTTACCAGGAAAAGATGGGATTCTGATATCCAATACTTAAACATGCATTAATTATGCAAGAGCATAAATTATCAATTAGACATTAATTAACTTATCAAGACCATAATAAACTCTTGATGTCAAGGCTAGCCTTCGATGTTGGCTGGATTAGATTCCTATATGCCGCTTTAATTGATAATTAAATCAAAACAGTGGATAATCGAGACTATGCTGTTTATATTAATGATTTTAGTAATGATGGCCGAGACTATGGGGAAATTTCACCCGCTTCGTTCTCGGCTCATAGTGGATCAATTTGACTGAAATTTTCAGCAAATAGTTTTTAACTATTAAAGTGAGAACTGCCAGCTCTTTATCTTATCTCCCATAATGTATCTTTAAGACAAAATAAACATTTTACCATTGGTACACGAATCGTGCACGATAATGCGTTTCAGCGCCTTTTGTAACATGGGACTCGAAGAACGAGGCTAGACATATTCCACTAGTATTTGTCAAACGGTGACGTTATATTCTTTTCTGGAGAGCATGCGGTGTAGACAGGAATAAAAAGCTGCTAGAGATTGCCATTCGATTGAGACTTCTGGTGTATTTCGCCGAACAAAATTGATTTGAAATTAGAGTAAAAAACAAAAACGATTGAATGTAAATCAGATTATATACATTCATATTACATTGTTATATGCGTTGCGACCCATTTATGTCATTTTTTAGGTCCCAAATATTAGCGAATTAGCTCCTTTAAATGTATTAAACATAGATCTATTACAAAGTAGCTTCAAAGTTATTAAATGTGAGAAATTTCTAATTAACAAAAGGCACAACTAATATAATAGGTTGATAAGTGTACAAAAAGTTTCATAAAGATTCATGAAATACCATGTTTACAAAATTGCGATGGAAGGATGGATCCCATTTAAATATCCATCCCAGACTTCATTTGGGATAACAAAAAGTAAATAGAAGTGCTGAAAATGGTTAGCAATTTAGCATGGCTCTAGAGATTAGTAGTAATGGGGGCGAACTTGATACAAAAAAATCCAGTAGTAATTATTGTTCCATTATTTATGACAAGTGTTGATGGTGATTAGTGATATAAAAGCAATAATTTATTATGATAAATATAGCCTGAAGTGACCTCCTCTATATAGCCATTTATTGTATGAATGGAATAGGTCCAGTTGATCGAATAGATTAAATGGAGAGTTAGTTGTCAGTTATAGCTGTGAGCCAATATAATTTACAGGTGTGAAGAGGAAGTGAGACCGTTTATACACAACAAGATGTTTATGTAATAACTGTAGGACAGGAAATTGATATCACAGTTTAACACATTTCACGCTATTACACTCATATTATAGATTATATGATCTTAGTATACAAATTATACATTAATTACGTCTAACCACCTTTATTAATCTAATATATTTTTGACTTAATTATGTTAAAATCAATTTCGGTATTAATTTTGACGTGCCACCTCCTACCTGCACACGCAATAAGGTCACACTTCTGCTAAACTAATTAAAACGTGTCAAATACAAATTGAAATGTTGATAGGTACATGTACACTACCTCCCCATAAACAGAGAACATTTTTAAATGTTAAAGGGTGGATGGCCGAATGGTTAGGGTGTGCGTGCTGTATCATAAGGCCTGTTATTGAGTCAACTGGCTTGGTTTCGAATCCCCGGTTGTACGTGACAAGGAGTAGGATCGTCTGTCCAACCTCGTTGGTTTTCTCCGGGTCGTCCGGTTTCCTCCCACTGCTAAAGACCCCTATGCACAAGCAAATTATTGAAATATAATTATAACCATATGTTAGTCCCGAAATGACATGTTTGTGTCGAGTGGACATTAAACCCCATTTCTCTCTCTCTCTCTTCTCCCACAATTATTTTCTTGCTATATATTTTAGCTGGTTTACAAATTACACATTTAAAATGACGAACCAGTTTTTATCTAATCTTTGGGACAGAATAAAGTGTTGATGCGATATAATTTCATTTTTTATGTACAAAGGTACATGTTTAGTTGACCCAAAATAACATTTTCTCACTATTGCCCCCAACTCATAGATTATCATGTGTTATACAGATTACACTTTCTGGAAGTTATTACAACAAATATATTTAACAGGACAACGGCACAAATAGCTAGCTAATCATTTTTCAATAATCTTAAATCTTTTTATAGTGCTTTTGAGTGATTTTTTTAATATTAGTCAGAATAAACTTTTGAATTGGCCTAATTTTCAATCTATAAATATAGAGGGTTACCTTATTCCAAAAACAAATCGACTTGATCACATTTAAATAGATTTAAACAAATTTAAACAAATCTTTTGATCGATATACATGTAGAGTCTGATTTTAAGCCCTTATTCTCGAAATCTTAATTAAAGATAAAATCCAAATTTTAGTAGATATTTCAATTTTGATTGGCTAAGCACTAAAATCAATCAAATATTATCCAATCAAATTACTAAAATTTGGATTTTACCTTAGTTAAAATTTCGCGAAACAGCCCCCAGAAGTATAATAAAAAAACCTAAATTAAAATTGAATTAATCCTGTGTGTGTGTGATGTAGCAAACGCTAACTCGACATTTACACGGATTGTGTGTTGATTTAAATACCAAATAAAGACAGCACATAGCTCGAGGTCACATCTGTATCTTTAATACCATTCAATATGTGGTCATGGGTGACAATAGGGCAAATGTAACACTTTCAAAATGGCAGATGGAGAAAATTGTGAGCTTGACGTGTTGCTATGGTAACCAGGTCATAAGCTGCAGGGTAAAATACAAGTATTTATATGTGAAGTAGCTTGAAGGATTTTAACTGTTGACAGCTTACATTTCATATTTCATGGATTCATATATGCTTTTAAAATAATAAATTTTACAATACATGTCTTTTTACACAAATAATCTCTTTTTCGAATTAAATTTATTGAAAAATACGAAAAAAAAAATTACGCTTAAGCGGCTTTCAAAGAAGAAAATAGACAAATGAAGAGGATTTAAATAAAAAAAGTTCAACATCAAAATCTTATCACAAGAGTTTGTAATAAATTTGAAAGGGAAATATCAAAGTGTTTGTTTATAAAGAATTAGATAATCGGGACGAAGGCTTCTTTTCTTTTTCTCTTCCCTCTTCCCATTTCTCCTCCATCTTTCCCTCTCTCCCCCGCTGTCCTATCCTCTACCCCTTTCTCTCTCTACACTCTCTTTAACCATCTCCCATTCTCTCTCTACATCCTCTCTAACCCTCTCATTCCCCCTCGCACCCCACTCCTCTTGCCATCCCTCTTTATTTAATGTCTTTCATAAAGAAATGGTTGCTTTTTTTTTATGTTAGTTAAATTAAGATATGGATATTGTTCATGTAGGATAGTGACTTGACTTCATTACGAGTTTAGAAATACATGTAATTACTCACTACAGTACAGATATTGGAAACAAAACAAATTGGTAACGATTTTATTTTCAATGCTTTATTTCAGAGTATTGGTAAAGGTTCATTATGGTGTATAGACCCCGATTACAGACCCAATTTATTACAAGCATTACGTAAAACACCCTATCATCCTTATCATCAATTACAAATGATGTCAGCACCATCAACGCAAAACTTTACAGGGCTTCCTGGATTTGGGTAAGTTTTCTTAAAATTTTTAAGACTGTGCGGCCTTTTACCTTAAGTTACGGCATACATCTCGTTATTCTCAAGTTTGGGGATTGTCAGTACAAGGTATTTATTTTGAATCTGCTTCTTAATGTGATACTAAAATCTAATATTTCAATTAAGGTACATTGTATGACTTTAGCTATAAAACCAAGCTACACTCCTGACTTAATTAATGTATTTGATAATTAAAAACATTTGGATGAATACACCTATAACATTTTACTTTGATGATATTAAATAGTTAGGAATAATAACATAAATAATTTTGTCTTGTGTTACACCACCACCATTACATTGACATGTCCTTTTGGCTGTGTAATGATGATGCTTGTTGAAGGATATTCTGTACAAAGAAATGATATTTTCTATTCCATCATTTCGAGCATATTTTGAAAAATGAGTGATACTTGACCCGTAGGAGGGGAAAAATCTAAAAATTACTGATTTATTAGATTTGAATGATTGACATAGAACAGGGTCCCTTTTTACGAAAAACTTGAATATATTTTAATTAAAATTGATAGCAGCCAATCGTTACTGAATTTCAGTTACCGTAGGGTCTTTTTTGAGTGATATAAGCTTTTATAAATAGAAACTTGTATAAAAACAATAGTCAACAACCCTATAGACACATTGTAAATTATTTTATTAAAAAAAGTTATATTGTGTTGTTTTAACATCACGAAAACTGTATCAAAAGACGTCTGTGAAGTCTGACGGAGGAAGATTTAAGGAAATTAGGGTTAAAAATCGACAGGCTTAAACGAAAATTCTCTCAAGACTCGTTACCATGACAACACAAACATAGCTTGATGAAAAGTAATGGCAGATGCCATGTTTGTGTTCCTGTGTGTATTTTTGGTGACCTGAATGTTCTCCTCGCAGCCTTTCTATGCATTGTTGACTTTTGCTAGGTGGTTTTATGTTGATCCACCGCTCAGTTCACCTAAAGAATATTTCACCTTTTGCGTGGTTGTTAATCATTACATCATAAAAACAACACTACATAATACAATGAAGCCCGTATTGACACAGATTTCGACTTCATGAATTTATTTTAACTTAAAAACATACTCCTATCGTACTTTGATTCTGTCTGTCTGGTTAGAATTTGATGCATCCATTATTTGTGCAAGATTTAAATTGTACCAAAGCTGAATATTTAGCTGATGTTTTAACTTATCCTCAAAATGATACGCCCTGTTCTGTTGTCAATTTGGAAAAATTTGCGTTAATTTGTTTGGTGAGATTAAAAAATTTATTCGTAAGTTAAAACTATTGTTTATTAATGAACATATAAATTCATAATTTTAGGATAAATTTGTTTAAAATCATGTCTTCAACAAAGGAGACCTGTTTGATTTGAGTGGAAAAATGAAATTTGGGGATTTGGATAACTTTTATGTTAATATTTCTGCATTAAAAAAAAAAAAACATTGCCAAATTAACAATGAGTCTATCAACCTCAACCATTTATTTTGACATAAACTAAAAAGTTTGTATGCATGTATGGGAAAACTTTTGATGTTGAGTAAATTTTCTTATCTTCAAAATTATTATGAATTTTTGACGATAAATATGATTTTATCAAGGTACTCTGCTAATATAACGAGTATAAAATACAAAAGGCTTGTAGTGCTATAATTAATTATTGAGTGTTTATTAAGTGTTAAATTGTGAGTTATTTTGAGAGAATAGTTTACAATCACGTGGGAAATAGGATGTAAATATGATTTATGAAATTGACTGGTATGTGGTGATGACTGAATGTTAAATCTCTCTTTATCTGTATCAAATAAGATTGTTTTACTTGTTAGTAATTCTTTATCATGGGGGCTGGCGGGGTTGGATGGCCGAATGGTTAGCATGTGCACGCTGTATCGTTGAGTCAACTGGTGTGGTTTCGAATCCACGGTTGTACTTGACCATGAGTAGGGTCGCCTGTCCAACCTCGTGGGTTTTCTCTGGGTCCTCGGGTTTCCTCCCACTGTTAAAGACCCCGACGTGCAAGTAAATTATTGAAATAAATTGAACCATGTGTTAGTCCCGAAATGACCCAGAGAAAACCCACGAGGTTGGTCAGGCGACCCTACTCCTTGTCACGCACAACCAGGGAATCTAAACCCAGCCAGTTGACTGGTGCAGAAAGGTTGTACTTTAACCCATTTACATTTCATACAAATATCAATACTTTTCTAGACTGTCACTTCATTATGATAGCGGAAGTTAAATAAAGCTATAAGTATTGACAACTACAGGTCGTTGTCTCGTTGAAAGTGGTGATGAGAGGGAAGATAATAGTTTAGATTAGAACTTGGTGCCATCGCCATTCGCGATCTTACCAATGGCTTTAGCATCATTGATCTTTCTAATCAACAAATACGATGAAGGAAAGAGAGCCAATGTAATTGGATTTGCAACGGAAAGAAAAGTCAATCTGTAGTATGCCGTTGACGAAATTATTCAGAGATATGTCATTATTAAATTAGATGGCAGTCACGTGACCCAATTGAACAATAAATGTGGCCAGAGTGACCTAATCTCGGATTTCAATAGAATTGAAACAAATCCCTTTTTCTGATCAATCATGTTAGAAAACAAAAATTATGAAATTTTTAGATATATTTTCTTGTTATGTTTTCAGTATTAACAGACCATTACCTTTAACAGCTAGACCAGCACCAAACACTATATCACCTCGTAAGTTCAATTCTTATTATTTGGTTTATGAAAATATATAATGTTCAATTCTTATTATTCTGTTGTTCAATCTTCATGAATGTTAATTTAAGAACAATTAATTAATTTATGTAATTAATTATCTAGAATTTATTTAACTCAAATATTTAATTTTTTTTTTTTTTTTTTTTTTTACAGATTTGTTTCCATTTTTGAGTAAAAGACTTGGATTAACGGGATCTACTGTTACAGGTTTCAGCATTGGTAAGTTTGGAACCCTACTAACAGAATATTTAAATAAGTTACACACCCCTACATTTACTATATCTCCCATAGCAACTATTGATATTTTAAGGTGGTTATACCCCTATCAACCATATATAAAGGCATTAGGGGGTTGATATTGAGGTAATATTAACCTCCAGTAACCACATGCTTTGAATTTCACGTGCACATGGTAAGCAGTCGATGATACTTGGCGCTTATCTTTTTAGTTTGTATCGATCTGTAAGTCGGATAGCAAATTATTTCCAAGATTGTTTGTCGACATAAAACCTGTGGACTCTGCCTGGAAATGGTTGCTATCTACGACTTGTCTGCTTAATCTGATTGGTTTTCTCCTGTTTTCTTGCCACTGCAGAGTTCTGTACAAGCAAATTAATGAAATAAAGATGATAGAAAGTGGTCCGAATCCTAATTCTATTTCACATATTTATTGAATGATTTACTTATTCCAATTATAACCTGTTCCTATTTCTCAGCCTTTCTTACAGTAATTCACCAGTACTTATTATATAAATTTCTCGAGAATAGTTATAACTATATAAATATACAATGAAGCTATTAATATATCAATAAAAACTAATTTATAAGTTGAATAGAAATAGCCGATTAAGAAAATATGTCTTGGCGATTTCTGTAAGCATGTAGCCGATAGAATGATAGTAATAAAATCATTGTAAGAAATGAGACAATAGGTGACGATGAGAACAGATGAATGCATCCATTCATCCATGTCTTGGCAATGGCTATACATCACTTATCCATTCAACGTTCGATACACTATTCTCCTTTAAAAATAGATACAGTTGAATATTTGTTATTTCGCATCCTTGGTGATCAAGAGTTGTATTCCCTAATAAACAATATAGAATTTTGTCCAAAAAAGCTCGCAAACCAAATAATTTTAAGTTGATTATTGATTGGCCTCGTTGATTCTAATTTCTGTCAACATTGTCTGGGAGTGAATAATATCATGATTAAACTTGTAATGAGTTGTTGAAAGATGATTTTGCATTCGCTGATATTTCTATAGATCATATGAAACAAGATTTGTATATTTGTTACCATGGTGTTGTTGACATTAGCAACCGTTTGAGTATCAGGTGATGGAGATAATTTTCCATCAAACCATGAACTTGAAAGCCACCTCATATTTAGATGTTCAGTGCTAAAACTAATTTGAATTTGTATGCGTGATGTAGCATTAGTGTATAATATTAATCTTATATCATATATTTGTGAAATAATACTGCGTCATTATCAGATGGAGACAATTTTGAGTGAAAAATAGAATTTTACATTTGAGTAAAAGAATTAGATTTAGTGAAAATTAGAATTGTCAGTGTAATTAGATTAATTTATTTTGTAAAATTAGTCCCTTTCCGGATTTAGAATTTGAGTGAAAAAAAATAAAACTAGAAATAGTAAACTGACCCATTTCAAAATTTAATAGTGTAAAAGCTTGTGTCAGAAAAATAAAATTCATTAATTTGATTTTTTTCTGAGATTTGGCTTACTTTCCACAATAAAAATTTGACATCTTTAGATTTTGTCTTTCAACTTTAAAAAAATTGAATAGTGTAAGAGTTTGTGTCAGAAGGATTTGTCGGAAAATAAATTTCATCAATTTGATATGTAGATTTTTTTCTGAAAGATGGCTTACTTTCCAAAGTAAAAATTTGACCTTTAGATTTACACTTTCAACTTTTAAAAAATGAAACTAGAATGATTGAACTGACCGATTTAGGCCCACTCATAATTTAATTGTGTATACTTTGCCCCCTAACTAATCATTAACATATATATCAATCGAATTGAACACTTGATTTGATCTAAATCAAAGTATTTCACGTCATTTAATAATAAATAAAACTACTCTTGTGAAATAAAAATTTAGTTACTCTTGGATCATTAACATAGAAATAAAATGTCCCCAAGACAGTTAAAATAACTATTAAAATTAACTACTGTTTTATGGCCTTTTCCACTTGAAATGACAGGAAGACATCGAATATAAATATAAAATCTAGGTTAAATGGATCTTAGAAAGTAACAATTAATTTCCGCTTCAACTCTTTTGTTAAACTATAAAGACTTGGGAATACACCCATTCCTTGGGTCGATCAATACACTTACTGGAATCTTGACCAAAATGTCTTGGCGGGGGGGGGGGGGGGGGGGGGGTGTTCTTTTATACGCAAATAAACAATACTTTTTGATTGGGGAAAAGGCGATGCATATGTGTAACCCCCTCTATCTAAGTGTTGGGGGTGGGGGATTTGTCTTGGGTTTGAATCCTAGGATCTTTCATTTCTGCCTTCCATTTGTCAGAGACAGAGCCTATGGGACTGACAAGTAATTTGTTGTCTAGTTGTTTGGATGGGACAAAAAAATCAAGGGCTACCTGAATACTCATTGGCATGAATGTCGAAATTAGATGAAGAGTAGGCAAAGATGCCACACCCACAAATGAATAATCAGAACTAAAAAGTTATAAATTGAGACATGTACACATGTATAAATAATATTGTTTTATCCTACATAGTATAATCCTTCTATAACTATTTCAGACAGAGAAATACAAGATGTAGCCCATACATTAGTCTCTATGAAAGGACTAAGCAGCAAACGTAAGTATCTAATCTTTTTCACAAACATATGAATTGCATCATCTTATAAAAAAAAAACCCCAACACATTAACCTAATGTTTCTGACCCTCTCCATTTTAAGTCAAGACTCGTAAATATGACTGAAACAAGAGTTCTAGACAACTTTAATAATTATCTTCTGGGACCTGGGTAGATTTGTTACCAGCGGATGACCCGGCGCTACACAGGTTGCAAGTATTATAACTCTGAAACCGGAAGCGGTAGTTTAATGCTGCTCCCTGGTCCGAGCTACCCCTATACACCAAATTTAAGGCTGGTGGAAAGCCCTAGTGTAGCTGCCAACCCTAACAGACCAACAGACAGACAGACTGTGACAAATATTATTATAGTTAACAAGATGTTTGTATATTTGTAGATTCATCTGGTCATTCTTCTGATGGTTCCGATTATTCCAGTCCTCCATCACCAACTGATGCAGCAGCACTTCTAAAACAACAATGCAGGTAATATATATACTATATATAATATGTAATATTATTGTTATTGATTTATTTAAAATCCTGTGTGCACGTAAAAAGATCCCTTGGCAGTTGGAATTCGATAAGAGTAGGCCATAGCGCTGCTGTTTGTGCAGAATTTCCCTCATGGCACACTAAATGGCTTAGTTGGATAGTTGGAGCAGAACAGTAGGACGTTAAACCCCAGTTCATTTCATTTAAATTAATATAGTCATCTGTTATATTCTGAGGCTCTTATGAGGCCGAAATAGTTGTCTTTTCTTAATAAGTCAACACCAAACAAGGGAAGAATATTGATATGGGGTCCTTCAATCCTTCTGCCCTTCTCTGCGAGTTTATTCAGAAACATATCACATAAATTGTTCATGAAGCTTTGTACTTAACTAGTATTTTGTTAATTAGAATATATCTTGGATTTAAAAGTTGTTGTGTTTCCATGAAAACAATTTTAAAGCCCATCTATTAATATATTAAAATGCTACAGTTATGTGTCTTAAATTATACAGTTGTTACCTGCCTTGTTAGCTTCCATTTTGTCATTATTTATGCTTGAAGACCACAAGAAAATACTTATCGAAACTATGTATAATAAATCTGTCATTGTATCCCATATAAATGGTCGTTGGGATTTCATTGCACACCAAAGTTGAGTAAAGAATTATAACATTATACGCGACCATTCAGAGAGAAGAAAATGATATGGTTGGTATACTGTAACATCAATATATATAACCATATATGGTTAGGTTTCTAATATTAATTTTATCTATATTTACAGGAAAGCTTCAGCAAATTATTTGCGAAAAATAAACAGTGGTAAACCTATAATTTGTACGATAAACCCTAGTGAGGACCATACGTATAGTGCTTCAACTTTACTAATGGAGGATTGCCCATCTTCTCCGACAAATTCTTCCATCGATGATGAATATGATTTCGGACCAGGTGGGGACGACAGTGACAATTCTGCTGATTACCATAGTGATTACGATTACGGTAGCGATGGGGAGGGGGATGAAGTGGACGGGGATGCCCCAGTTCATGTACCGAAAATAACCAAAATACCAGCCCGACCTTCCAAGCCCACACCGACACGCCCGGCAGCAACACCTATTAAAACACGGAAACGAAAACAGCAGTCTTCTTCACGAAGTGACGACGATGAAGATGAACAGAAAAAAATCGCGGAAGGTGCCGATGCGTTAATGAATTTAGCGGGTATATTTGTGCAGAGACAGGAACCGCGACAAACGAGAAGTTGTACTAAGCGACGACGTGGGAACGAAATTTAATTATTAGTGAAAATGTTATATTATAAAGTTGTTATTGATAAACGAACTAGCTGTCAATATGGACACTCGATGCCATAAAGAGATTTGTTATAAATGAATTTTATTATTATTATTAAAAATGTTTTATTTAATATCATGGTGTAGGGATATAATCTGTTATATTGTTACGGATTCTTTGATTGGCTGATTTCTAGAAGCAGTAGAGCTGGAAAGCTTGCATCTGTCACGACACGATATGATCAGACTACAGCAGGATATTTCTTCAAAATCAACTAAATGTGAATTTTTTGAAACTTAAAAGCATTAGCTGAAAATTTGTTGGTTATGTCAGGAAAAGTAAACATTCAAGTTTTAATTTTCTGGGTTACAGTTATCTGCGCAGAATCAAGACAAAATGGATGAAGAATAGTTATTATAAGATCTTCCCCTTGAAATGCGTAATGATGGCTTTAAAAAAAAAAAGATAAAGACAATAGATAGTAGCCATTGTGAGTTAACTCAACAGAGAATTAGTGTACAGGATGCCTGCCAATATCTCTATCGTGTCTATAAGAGAGCCAATCAAAAGGGACCTAAAAGAGTGACCAAGACGTTTTATGAGGAGATAACTCTATTTTATAAAGACTTAGTTTAGTCTGTGTCTATTTTGTAATATATATGACGTTTGTGTACGCTGTGTATCGTCTGCGTTATTGTTGTTAAATTGTAGGGAAGTGATGCAATAATTTAGTGTCTGTGCCAGCCCGTTTACAAATTACATTTTGATCTCACCATTTCAAGTACAAATCTGTCAGTTAAATTTAACAAAAGTTGTATTTTCAAAAGTTGTATTAAAATTTCATCACTATGGATGGGAAGATAATTTTAATACAGTTCTTCGTGAACTAAGATCAATTCATTTTGTAATTCAAATTACATTTGGTAATTCAAATTACATTTGGTAATTCAAATTACATTTGGTAATTCAAATTACATTTGGTAATTCAAATTGCATTTTATATTTCAAATTGCATTTTGTGTTTCAAATTACATTTTGTATTTCAAATTGCACTTTGTAATTTATCACTGGCTGGCAAAGGCAATGAGCTTTTACTTTGTGTTTACATGGTTAATTTACAACATTTTAAGTTTTTGATTTGATCATTTTTTTGTAATTTTTGTTGCGTTAAGAGCAAGAAATTTTATCTATTCAAGCATTATTTTAGTTTGTAGGAATTATACATGATCTTAAATAGAAAACGTTTTATCTTTTAGTCATTTAGATCATGTAATACATTGAAAACGTCACTTCAGTATAATTAACCTGGCTGGAATAAAAAAGCATTACCATAAAGTAAATCACCCTGAAATGATAATGAACTAACTTTAAAAATTAATTGGTACTAATAATAGAAGAATTCATTTTTCATCATGGGGTGTTATACTTTATAATGGATAAAAACACTGACAATACCTTCTAATGGAATAACGACAAATGATTACTAAAATATTAAATATATATTTGTAAATACTATGTAGTCTACTAATGTCAATATGGCTTTATTTTATATATTTTATTTTATATTCACATAATGTATGTAATTATTGATTGATTAATCGAGGAGAAAACATGGACGTGCTAATGGCTTTTGTCATGGTTGCAAGCCTTTTTTAGATGTGAATTTATGTCAATACTTAGGAAATAAAGTAAACTTCACTATTCAGATATACTGTAAATTGATCAAGAGCACTATAAAGATATCCAAAGTTTTTTACAGATTCTATCTAAAGAAAATAAGGCCTGTAATTGGAAATGTGTAAGGGTCATTTTTCTGCTGACTTGTGCAAATTCCAAACTTTTTCACAGTTAATTTCAAAAGAAAATTAGGCCTGAAGTTTAAAACGTGTAAGGATCATTTTTGTGGAGACTTGTACTAATTCCAAACTTTTTCACAGATTCTTTCAAAAGAAAATTAGGCCTGAAGTTAGGCCTAAGTAAGGATCATTATTCTGGTGACTCATACAAGAATTGGTAGTGAATGTAACTTGGATTATTTTCAGTTATTGACTATATAAAGGCACTGTATATGTATATGATTAAGTTGCACATAGTGTATATTATGATATACACACACTTGTATATATTAGACAAGTTTTTGAAAACCTTTATATCTAATTCTTTATGTAGATATATTTGTATATTTAAATGTTCTCAACATGTGCTTCCATCAAGTAATTAGTACAGTAGAACTTTAGAATTATCTCCCTTTATTATTTGAATTTTCTAATTCCTGTGTCAGACATTAGGCTGTATACAGTCCTTGCGTATATTATTGATACTTCGTTTTGTTTTAACTATATTCGCTATATCATACCACAGTAAGGACTGTACATTTTGCACAGTGGCGGGTTTTACCGTCAAGATCTTGTCGAAATCATTCCATTGGTTGATTTTGACAATATCTTAATGATAGTGTAACTCGTTACACCACTAGTGGACAACATTTTATTTAAATTTTCTCAATACTAATTTGGAAATTGAATCATTACAGCTCTACTCTCGTATGAAGTGGATAACTTGCTTTTGTAGCTTGGCTCTTAAGTCTTACAAATCATTACTTTCACAATAGTCTTTTTTTATGAAGGATTCCTATTTTAGGGCAATTGGATCTTTGATTCACTGGAAAGCGTTGATAGTCAATTGTGTAATGTCGGTAAAACATTAAAAAAAATGTCTGCTTCCTAACTTTGTTTTGTTTAAAAAATTTGAGCCTCATTATTTTAATACTCTTTATTAGTGTATTTGTTAAAAGATTGTTAATTGTTGAATTTTTCTTTGATTTTGTTTTTTTTTAAGATTTTAGTAGGTTTTATGCTATATTGATGCCATTTTTCTCACCCTGTACATGTTTTCATTTTCATCATTCTTAATCTTGCCATATGAGCAAACCATGTTGAAAATATTTTCAAAACCAAAGTTAATTGTTTCAAAAAGTGCAAAATATTAAAAAAAAAAATGGAAATGAATTAACCATACTCTCAGGTTTATAAAATCTATGAAGTAAATTGGAAAATAACTTTGTGTATAAATATAAATCTTTCATTAGTGCTTTGTTTCACGATTTCATTTGATCATTTGTAGTGTACATGTAGTTGTTGGGATGGTTCTCATGGTAACAAAGAAAATGTTAATTGCAAATGGCTGACAGAATCTGAAGTGCTGAAATTACCATTTGTAAAGAAACAGATGTGCATCCATTTGCAAGTTGTCATTTCTTTGGGGCCTTATTTACTGATTGTAACATCCAAAGTGCTAGCTTTCGATGCCATTTTAGATGGTTGGTGAAAAATTCCCTCCTAAGCCATCTGCCATCCAGCCCTCGTCTGACTTGATAATCAAGGTGATTCTGGTTCGAGGTAGGATTATCAAGTCTCTTGAACCAGAAGGGCAGAAGGTTTCTAGAGGACATTTTGCACTAACTTTATTTTTGATTTCAATGTCTGTGAATAGTGTGCCAGTTGATAAGTTTCTACAGATCTCAATGATTTTATTAGTCAATTTTTTTTTATTAATTCATGGTTTAATATGAAAGATATTTACAATATGTAGGATTAACACTGTGTATTGAGAATGTGTAGATATTGTTGTATAGTGGATTAGGTAGGGACAGGGGTTATTAAATAGTGGTTCTCTATATCTAGTCTATAGCAAATTAACATAGAACACCCGATACCACTTCTCATTGGGGGGGTGGATGGCCGAATGGTTAGCACATGCGCGCGCTGTATCATAAAGCCTGTCATTCGAATCCCCGGTTGTACGTGACAAGAAGTAGGGTCGCCTGTCCAACCTCATGGGTTTTCTCTGGGGTCCTCCGGTTTCCTCCCACTGTTAAAGACCCCTACGCGCAAGCTAATTATTGAAATAAAATTAAACCATATGTTAGTCCCGAAATGACCTAGTTTGTGTCGAGTGGACGTTAAACCCCATTTCTCTCTCTCTCTCAAATTAACATAGAACACCTGATACCACTTCTCATTTAGTTGGGATGTTTGCAGGGTTAATCATTTTTTGGTTGTATTTTGTGTATACAAGACATATGACTGGCAACAAGTCTTACAGTACCATATATCCAAAATTATTTTACTGGGGTAATATTAAAAGATTCATCTCAAATATTTTGATATAATGAAAATTTGATTAAAAAGTATTGAAACTTTATAATGATTATGTTAACAATCTTATTAATTTAGCTTGTGACTTTATATAGTAGAACCACAAATAATGTATCTATAGACCTGTTTAATTAAAAATACTTTCAAGATTTTTATGACTATTTCCAGAGTTCAATTGATTTAGAAATAGCTCTAACTTTGGATATATGTTCAAGGGAGATAATTAAAAGACTTGTTGAACAGGACTATAGATAATGTTGATGTATATAAAAGTAAATTGTTAATATTCACACCAGGTTTAATCATAGAGATATCAATTTATTATTTAGGTAATCTAGCTTTAACCTAGCTTTAACCATTACTTTTTTCTCTTATAGTAGCAGTAGTGTCTGAATGAATCCACACCTGTCATCCATACATGGCTAAGAGTAGGGTCACCCACTGTTAAAGAGCCAGTTACAAATTAAGTAAATTAGGATTATGTTAGTCCCAAAATGGCCTAGTTATTTTGTTTAGATGTTGCTCTCTATATAATGGTTAAAGCTAGATTACCAAGTAATAACTTGGGATCTCTTTCGATTTATTTCACCTATATTATTACCATATATATTCATGTGCCAAGATTTTAGTGCATCTGAAAACAACAGGTATATAATGCCTTATCAACGACATAGTGGTCACTTCCTTCTATAAGGAAACCCTTGAAATTTTAGTGTACCATTTTTTGAAGTCTTCCAACATTGTATTTTATACTCGTTTGTAAACGTGATGTCAAATCTTCCGTAAAAACGATCCAATCAAACAATTTCTTTTATATGTTCTCTACTTTCATTTTGTAGTTTAATTGGTGATAGGTGGTTTAGATATTGAGATATTTGTTTGTTACACAAACTATTTGTTAAACACTTATGCACCACAATTTTAACGTTGACCATTTTGAATTTTCTCTGAGATTCTAATTATGAAATTATATTTCGAATTGAAATAATCTAAAAATGTGTTTTATTTGTACTTTGCTGCAAAACTAGAATAAAGTATAACATCAGTTATTATTGATACACATATTTTGTAAGAAATAAATATATTTTTTTGGGTTTTACTCAAAATTGAAATTTCTGTAACCATGACGACTTATTTTGCTGCCATTTAAGTACATGATATTATCTGTTATAATTGTTGATGCTAAGGTTTGAGATATTTTTCATTCATCACTTTAACGTATTTAGATCTCAATCATAATCTGTAAAAAAAGAAGCAGACTCTTTTCCATTACACGGTAAACATCATCCCAAAATCTGAGGTAAAAAAGTTTTCTTTTAAAATGTCAAAGGAAAACTGAAGAAATTATTTTCAGTGATTTTGAAATATTTCTGGCATTATTTTACAAAAAAAGTTACCTCACTCAGTTATAAATGTTTTGTTTCAATTACTAAACGAGGTTGATTAATAGCCAGAGATGACGTTTGCAGTATTTTGGAAAAGAGCTGTGCGTGTGTTCCATAACTTACACTAGTTAGAATAGCCTAAAAGTAAATTTAATAATAAAAAAATTGATGTTGTAATTTCTAATGTATTTTGGTGGAATATATTTTAGATTTGTTTTAGTATAACAGGGTAGAATGTTTATAGGTATATAAACTCATTGTTATATTCATCTCTCATTACATACACTGCCAAATGTATCACACCAAGTGTTCAAGGGGATTAGAGTCATTTTGCTAATGACAATTCTGTGAAGAATATTTTATTTTATTCATTTTGATAAAATCCGACGACAAAAAGTGACTCTTTCCGTTTTCTATTACGCCAAAGTTTTAACGTTTTTTATACGGTGCAATATGAATATCATCAATCTGTTATCATGAAATATTGAATTAATTTTACTGCTTTTCTTTTATTAGAAACAAATACGCATTACGAAAAAATTCTATAGCAAATTTAAATTGAGTTCCATTTCAATCTTTGATTGGTTGGTTAGCGTATATTTTGATTTATTTGAAATTGGTAGCTTTGTGCAATATGGTGGTCATTACGTCTGCTATCTTGTGTTCTGATGTTATATCAATTATTACTGTATTATTATCTTGGCTCTGTATATTTGTATATATATATATATTATATCAAACAGATATTAAAATAAAGCTTAAAATACAAAATAACTCTTTATCATTTATTTATGTCTATTCAGATGGTGCATATAATCTTGCTTTTGTGATAAAATGAATACTTGGCTTATGTTCCAGAATGGAATTCTGTCAAACTGATGAAATGAAATGGGGTTTAATGTCTTAACGTTTCCATGCCAACTGGCTTAATCAAGATGTCCATATGCATTCCAGTGTGCTATGAGGGAAATTTAGCTCAGGCATCCTTCTCTTATTTTGATACCCAACTGTTTTTGTCCCATCTGTATGATTAAATGCCAAGCCCTGCACCGCCTACAAGTGGGGAATCAGGCTGGAAAAACCTGAGAAACTTTTTCAGCCAATATTGGGAACAAAGAAACCCAGGACAGCACCATACTAACCCACCATAGCCCTTAAATCTGATGACCAGTGATAATTGAGTACCAGGTGACAGAGCATGCACCAACTGAATAGAAATACATCTCCACAATTCGCGACAGTTAAAACATGTTTGCCGTGTTTAATAGCGTCATGATTCTACTCGCACCATATTTATGGGCTTCCCACATGAAATGAAATGGGGTTTAACGTCAACATTATTAGCTCATCGGGAGAGAGAGAAATGGGGTTTAATGTCCACTCGACACATTCTAGGTCATTTTGGGACTAACATATGGTTTAATTTTATTTCAATAATTTGCTTGCGTGTAGGGGTCTTTAGCAGTGGGAGGAAACCGGAGGACCCGGAGAAAACCCACGAGGTTGGACAGGCAACCCTACTCCTTGTCACGTACAACCAGGGTTTCGAAACCATGCCAGTTGACTCAATGACAGGCCTTATGATACAGCGCGCATGTGCTAACCATTCGGCCATCCAACACCCCTAGCCCATTTGGAACTTTTGAGAAACTCTCAATCAAGTAGCCTCATAACAGGTTTAGTTTACAATGAAGTGAAATGAAATTGGGTTAACGTCCTACTGTTCTACTCCGAACTGGGCTAATGAAGACGGGCATACACCATACAGTGTGCTGAGGGAAATTTTGCCCGGACAGTGGCACTATGGCCTACTCATATCAAATTCCAACTGTCAAGGGATCTTTTACGTCCACTCCAATGTGTACATGGGACCTAGGTTTTCCGTGTCATCCGAAGGACTAGACAGCTGTCCTTGTCAGGCCCTTCATCCTGCATCTCTGACAAGGGGGAACCACGTCGGAAAATCTCGGTGAACTTTCTCGGTCAATGCAGTTTAGTTTACAAGAAATAATAACAAAAGATGTTACATATCACAGATTTATTCAAAATAATCACATTTCAATTTTATTTACAGGTCAATGACAGACGGCCATTATTTGTGCAGGTGTATCAAGAGCTATAACTGGTACAAGTGAAAATACAGGTGTGACATCCGTTAATGACTCGATACTTCTGTTTACATCTAAAATAGAAAATAAAACATATAAGATATAAACAAACTTGTTTACTATGTGAAGTTCCAATATAAAAAGAAAGCAGGTGGGGTAGTGTAATGTATGCATTTTAGGTCATAAAGTCTGTCATTGAGTCAAGTGGCATGATTTCCATCCCGAACTTGTACGTGTGTTTTCTCTAGGTCCCCTCATCATCACAAGCAAATTAATGAAATACAATTACCATATGTTAGTCCCGAAATGACATAGTTTGTGTTGGGTGGACGTTAAACCTCATTTCTCTCTTGCTCTTGTAACAATGCCTTATATACAACACCCACCACTAGCTATTTTTTTTACAAATACATTTGGATTAAGAAATCAATTTAAATATAAAAAGCAATCTGAATAAAAACAGATACTGTTTCGTTTCGTTTTTTATAGTTCAAAATTTTGTTTACTTGTCTTCCCTACACTAGGATCTGGAAGAGATGTTATATAACCCGCATTCTGGTTGATGTGAGGGATTAGCCAATCAAATGGTCTGTTGCAGCGAGTTTTTGGCATGCAATGCACGGAACTGTAGGTATTCTACTAGAAACATCAACGCAGGTTGGTTAATCAATTGTTTGATGTCATAGGGTCAAAAGCTGCTCACTACTACTGGTCAGATCTTCATGTAGTAGAGGCTATCGCAAGTATAAGAAACGAAACGAAATATAGATCTGTATTTTCATTTGATTGATATTTAATGGGTTGTCTCAAAACCCCCAGAATGGAGACGGGTGGGAGGAAGGTGATCATTCAGGTACTGTCACCCTTGGATTCTGTTACAACCATATTATATAAAGTAACTTACCATTAAATAACTGATCATAATTAAAGATTGAAGTAGGGAAGAAGATCCGTAATAACGGTACAGATCTCCAGTCTAACTTCATCTTTATTAATACTTTATCATATTCTTCAAATAAATGCTGTATTAAATCTTTATATATTAAACCGGCATTAGATGTTAATTCTGTAATATAAATAAGACAATAAGACAAAAAAAAAAGAAAAAAGAAGAGAGACCTTGATTCAACCCGCACCCATTAACCATTCAGCCACCACACCCCAACTAAAAAAAATGAGGGGTAGAAGACATGATAAAACCAGTTGGCTACTACAAATTTTCATTACCGAAAGTACCTTGAGATTTATCAACATGGTTTCCCCTTGTCATGATCATTATAGAACTTAGTCAAAGTACTTTATTAGAATCAAAATATCATCTTCCAAAGCATCGACCAATCAAATTACTTTTCTCTGCTTATCCTAAGCAGAAAATGCTCATGATTGAACTCAGTCAAGTTTAAACATCCTAGCTGAATTAGAAGCACAGTTATCGTCTTCCAAAAGGACAGAAAACTCATTTTAATAGTTCACTGCTTTCTCCCACAGATGGGATACCCAAAAAAATTAAAATAAGAAAGACCTACCTAAGGAAGCTTTACATGTAAAAATATTTTGACTATCAGTAGAATGTATAACATCTATTTTAACTTTATGATTACTGTAATTCTCCACAATATTTAATTCTGAAATAAATAAACAAAGATGAGAAAATACACTCTGTTGGACGGAAGGTTCGGTAGCTAATTTTAAAGAGAATTAGTTATCCCCCCCCCCCTCCCCCAAGCAAAGTAGCTCAAAAACTTAAATTAGCTCAGTAGGACACTAAACCCCATTTCATTTCATTTCATTTCTTAAATTAGGTAAACTTCATTAATTTGAGTCAAAAAATGATTGTCAGTTTTACATATTGATTTGTTTGTCAGTTTTACATGTTGATTTGTTTTGTGGGATGACAATCTGACAACTTGATTGACAATTTTACGTCTGTAGAAAAAGCCAGTATTGAAATAGGACCGCTTTTGTGTTCCACTGTCGACACAGTCAGTCAAAAATAAATTAAACTTAAATTCAACTGTAAAGAGCTGGTTCCACAACTAACTGATATAAAACATCATTTTTTATTTTGATCAGAATCAAGATTTGGCTCATTTAAATGATTTTTCTGCCCAAATATTTCATTTAAACATACATTACGCAAGTGCTAAATCTGCCTATTGCAGCAGGTCTTTCTTTTGGCCTGAAATGTTTTCTAAATCATTAATTAGACATTAATTAACTTATCCAGGCCATAATCAACTCTCGATGGCATCGGATTTCTTCGATATTAAATAGCTCAGCCATATTTTGATTTAAGCTAAAAATGGAGGAGCGAGACTTAGCTTCGAACAACCAGGGCGGTGGTTGACATTATTGCACATGTCTTGTCAAACCTTCAAAGGCTAATATCTTCGTTTGCTATAGAGTAATTTGAATGAAATTTTCACATTATTCATGTTACATTATCTATTTTCGAACTATTATAGCAAGAATGATCAGCTCTTTATCTAAATCTGTATCTTTAAGCAAATGACAATGTGAACTCTGAGTAAGAGTATAACATGTTATTGAGTATGTATTTTGGTATATTGTCCAATATAAGAACCTACCTGTTAATTGTGCTGTATGTTCTGCAGCATAAACTAACCATTCAACTAGACCATGTTTAGGTAAAGTAGGTACAACTATACATTGTATTAAACTAGTATGATTAGAACTCTCTAATTCACCATACTGTTTTATCTATTAACAACAAATTTCACATTTATAACAACTTATAATTCCAAATTTCACATTTATAACAATTTATAATAGGACAAAAATAGATAAAAAAAAAATCCAAATTTCGAAGGACAATGTATTTAAAAGTTGATTTAAGTACGGTATATAAATCAAACGCCAGTCTATTTACCTTGAAGCTACGGTGGTTCAGTAATCATAAATAAACATTTATAAAAATTTATAATAGGACAAAAATAGATAAACAAATTCCAAATTTCGAAGGACAACGATTTAAGTATATAAATCAAACTCCAGTCTATTTACCTTGAAGCTACGGTGGATCAGTAAGAAGGTGCTGACTCACAAACCAAGAGGTCTGGTGTATGAGTGATACAGGAAGGAGCGTCTGGCAAATTGTCAAATGGATCAGATGCAAAACTGAGTTCTCTTGTACACTACACATTGTTGTGCATATAAAAGGACTTTTGACAATTGAATTTGAAATAAGAGTACACCATAACGCCACTGTCAGAGCAAAATTTCCCTCATGTCTATAACTATCCAATAGTCTAATCTAAAATATTTCACAAATTTCTTTACAAAATATTGACCTTGAATTAGTTTATGATTTGACTTACGTTGATTGTTTTAGCCTCTTTCTTCCACTCTCTTTTAACGACTGGTATAAAAGCTGGTTTTGTGATGTAACATATACATAATAACACACTATTTAATGTACAGTCAGGTGCCATGACGTCTAATATTCTATCTGTATGACGTAACGACAGTAGTGTTTGTGGTACGATACCTCCCTCTATAATAGTCATACTAGCTGGACATAAAGCTATCTGACCAGCAACATATATCTTACCATCAAACTGAAATAGAAACAATTACAATCATTGAGTTTTATTGACCTTTTATCTCTGAAATTCAGTCCTGAAAAGTTTGTCCAACCATCGATACTAACAGTGAATCATGTTTTAGGTTAATTGAATTTGATATAGCACTCATTATTACATCTTTGATGTATTCAATGGTGCTTTACATGAACCATATATAGAGACACACAGCTACACATACATAAATTAAATTAAATAAAGGCATAATATAAGTTCTTATTTGCAGAATGTTCTTTGAAATAGAACTTTCCAAAGAAGGAGGCTCTTTCAGATTTCGTGGTAGTTTATTCCATAGTTTTGGTCCTGCTACACTAAAGGATCTGTCAGCAAAAGATTTATTTTTTGTTTTTGGAACATGCAAATCCTGGGCGGTCGATGATCGTGTGGAATATCGATTCGGGTTGTAAGTTAAAAGATCACAAATGTAATTGTTTTTGGGCGTCAAATGAACTTGAGAATTTGGATTGTCCAAGAATCATTTTGGCCGTAAGGTTTTGCACTCGCTGAAGAGGGGCGAGTTTAGATTTTGGTAAATTCACAAAAAGACCTTTACAGTAATCTAGATGTGACATGATGAGAGCGTTGTCTTATTTTCTTATTTCACTCACTTTACCTTCAGTCTTCCCAGTCAATCAATTTTTGATATATTTCTTTTTCAAGGAATGTGACAATTTTAGAATAATCCAAAATGTTTATATATATTTTTCAGTGTTTTTACACATAAAAACTATAAATTTACTTATATTCAAAAGAATACACAAGAACTATAAAATTAACTGTTAAATTCGAGGTTAAATTCTTTGAAATTTTAATTTTCTAGCATGTAAATTGACTGACAGGTAAATTATCCAGACGAACATTTTAAATGTCGATCAACATTATGCTTTTTGTAGGCAGGTTGAGGAGATTTTCGGGTATTTCCTTAGTCCAAAATGGCCACTTTATATAAATGACTCTTTTAAGAGGGGTAAAAGATAAATTAGACCCAAGTTCAGTCTTCTAAAGAGGGTTAGCGTTAGCATTCCCCAAAAATCTCATTTATGTAAAGCAGCCATTTTGGACTCCGGAAACCGGCCTACAGTTAGCATTTCCCTATTTGTCTTGATCAGTTACCGCCATGACAGTTAACACAAAATCTCATGAGACTTCGCGAGACTACATAATGATAATAATAATACATGTTCAGGGCCCAAATTAAACAAACAATTTTAAAAACATATGATATTTAACATACATACTTTGACAGCTTGACTATATGGTCCAATATTAGCTGACGCCCAGTGTGATATACTCTGTACATGTAACGTTGATTTATCATCACCGTTAATATAACCAATACAATCTAACTGTAAATCTATATTCCGTGATAAACATACTTCTACACATCCTCTGTAAATACAAAGGAGAGAGTGAGAAATGGGGTTTAAGATCCACTAGATACAAACTAGGTCATTTCCGAACTATCATATGTTTCAATTTTATTTCAAAAATTTGCTTGCACGTAGGGGTCTTCAGCACTGGGAAGAAACCATAGGACCTGAAGAAAACCAACAAGGTTTGACAGACGACCCTACTCCTTGTCACGTAAAAACCTGGAATCGAAACCACGCCACTTGACTCAAAGACAGACCTTTTAGATCATTTAAGTTGATGGATACCAAAGAAGAATCAAGAGATTGGGCAGGCTTTTCCCGTGTCAAATACGGGAAAAGATAACTGGCCTCTTGATCTGCAGTATGTGCATTAACCACGAGCCAGCCACCCTGGCTGGGAATTAAAAATATTGCAAGAAGGTATGGTGAACTTAGACAACCTTATGGTACCATTCAAATTTTCCAACCTTATGGTACCATTCAAATATTCCAACCTTATGGTACCATTCAAATTTTCCAACCTTATGGCACCAATCAAATATTCCAACCTTATGGTACCATTCAAATTTTCCAACCTTATGGCACCATTCGGTACCATTCAAATTTTCCAAACTTATGGCACCATTCAAATTTTCCAAACTCTACAAAACACAGAACTTCTTCATTGTTTGCATAGGAATTCTGAGTTTAAAAAAAAGTAAATAGACTACCCCTACCCATTAAGTCCAGAATTTACCTATATCACAAATGAATTCAGGTGAGAAGAATTTTCAAAATAATTACCTTACTGGTGGATTAATATCAAATAATGTTTTATAAACAGAATTTACTGCAGCAAAATCCGCCATGTTTCTAACATATAAACAAACAGACACTATATTCTTGGTAGAAACTTTTAAATTATTCAAGGTATCTAAAACAAGAAAAGCAGATTAATTCAAGTAGTGGTTATAAATATAAAATTCAATATCTAAGATATTGAAACAAGGTAAGAGTCAAATATTAATAGTATGTCATATTCTACATATCCCATCTTCCGTACATGTATAAAAATGAAATGAAATGGGGTTTAACGTACAACTGTTCTGCTCCGACATTATTAGGATTTACGTCACAATTCTGCGACCCTTAATTCCGTAAGAGATGGTCTTAAAACCAATAAATGTGAGAAATATGCCGTGGATAATTATATATTTATCTTCATATCGATGTTATTGTGTTACAACTCAAAATTATCCAGGTCAGTGTATTTACTATGGAGCACGTGGTAATTACGTAATTACGTGTGAGCTACTGAAATGGTTTTCTACGGCCAATTCAACTATTTCGTTATTTAAGTAGCCAAAATGGAATATTTAATTAATTAATAAATAATTATCATAAGCCTTACTAATATTTCATTTTTAAATCAAATATTTTTCTTTTCTGTACCCCATGGTGACAAAGTGGTATAGAAACGTGAATTCACAATACCATACCATGAATAAAAAACATGAAATATGAATTTACTTTGAAAAGTTTTCGTGCGTTATCAAAAATGACCGGTAGTGAAAATTTTGAAGTGGAAGCCCTGACCTACACTTATATCGAATTCCAACTGCCAGGGGATCTTCAGTTAACCTATTATAAAAACCAATCTCGACAAAGATTAGCCCATGTCCATGGAAGACCAGACTCCAAGTTCACAAAACATTCTCAGACTTAAGAATTTACTCAACTTTCAATCACTGTTTATGAGAAATATCTTTGATCCAGAAACACAAAACTTTGTACATAGTTTCTTACTGATGTATTTGATACATTAAAACAACAAACGTTTTATAACTGGCTATATTTTAGTTAAAATAAGACAAACAATTTTGAGTAAATTCTTAACTTAAGTCTGAGAATGCTTTGTGAACTTGGGGCCAGGCTCTCCAAGTTCACAAAACATTCTCAGACTTAAGTTAAGAATTTACTCAACTTTCAATCACTGTTTATGAGAAATATTTTTGATCCAGAAACACAAAACTTTGCACATAGTTTCTTATTAATGTATTTGGTACATTAAAACAACAAAAGTTTTATAAAGTTCTATATTTCAGTTGAAATAAGACCAACCATTTTGAGTAAAATCTTAACTTAAAGATACATTATGGGAGATTAGATGACAAGTTGACAGTTCTCACTATAATAGTTAAAAACTATGAACCTAGAATTAAGCGGTTGAAAGTTCCGCCTAGCCTCGATCATCATTACTAAAGTGGGTACGACAAAAATCATAGTCTCGATTATCCATTTAATCATTAAATCGTGAAGAAAAGTTCTGCAGCAAATCGGATCATAATCCAACAAATATCGCAGGCTAGCTTGGACATCGAGCGTTGATTATGGTCTGGATAAGTTAATTAATGTCTAATTAATAGTTTATATAACATTTCAGGCCTAAAGAAAGACATACAATAGGCAGATTTAGCTCTTGCATAATGTATGTTTAAGTTTAAGAATGCTTTGTGAACTCAGGGCCAGTAATCATCCACAGAACATGTAGAATCAGACTGTATCATAATAACAGACAACTTATGGATAATAAGGGTACTCTCACCGTTATCAAGCAATGTTATCCATAAAGCTGTCTGTTATTTATTATGTAACGTTTTCACAATGCCCTTTAAAGATAATAATACAGTATCATGTTTGAAATTTAATTATGAATAGATATTTGCTGTTACATATAAAGAATATATACAAACCTTTTAATCTGGTAAGAGCTAGTTGTGTTTGATCAGTGATAGATAAAGTACTGTTATTATAACTAACAATATTACTTATATAAAACATATTCCCCTCCTTTCTACATAAAACCTTTACATTATCTGTAAGTAAAATAAATTATACTGTACAATTTAATCATCTCCATTTAAATTACCTTAGTTGTAAAAATATAGATTGATTGTCAACCAACAAGACACACATTTACCAGCAGTTTTGTTTACCGAACCACAAATTTAGTTTTGTCATAAAATAAGAACAATAGTCTATTCAAATACTGTTTAAAATCAGTACTTGAAAAACCTGCTTTAATTTCTTAACGAGCATTAACAACACAGGGAGTCATTACAAGTTGGTTGAAAATTATAAAATGTTTCCATTTCCATTCTACAAAGTTGAACAATCACCAAAAATTTAATTGTAGATTCTAGGGTGTTCCCAAGAATTTGTAAGCAAGGGTCATTACTCTGGGATTTAAGAATCTATTTTACTAATTACTGGGCTTTAAACTGGGGTCAGTCTTTTGACATTGAATATCAATCGTAACTTGAAGATTAATAAAAAAATACCATTTGATGGTGGTGGGATTTCAACTGTTACATCGGCTACCCGAACAGCTTCACTAGAACTTGCTTCACTCAAAATTTCTTTCTGTAAATCACAGCCTCTTTTCATTGGTAGATCTTTTAATCTTTCATGCAGTGGTACATTTGATATATTCTGAGATAAAAATCAAATAAACAATCAGGAAGTCTACTAAAAGAACCATTTATTGTAAATAAGAATGTAATAAGCTCTAAGTGAATCATTATCATGTACCTTACTTTGTAAATGATTTTACCTTATACTTGTAAATGATTTTACTATATACTTGTAAATGATTTTACCATATACTCGTAAATGACTTGTAAATGATTCTACTATATATTTGTAAATGATGTTTTTACCTTATATTTGTAAATGATTTTATCTTATGTTGTAAATGAGTATACCTTATCTTGTAAATGACTTGTAAATGATTTAACTTATCTCGTAAATGACTTGTAAATAATTTTACCTTATACTTGTAAATGATTCTACCATATACTTGTAAATGTTTTTACCTTATACTTGTAAATGATGTTTTTACCTTATACTTGTAAATGATTTTATCTTATGTTGTAAATGATTTTACCGTATGTTGTAAATGAGATTATCTTATGTTGTAAATGAGTTTATCTTATGTTGTAAATGAGTTTATCTTATGTTGTAAATGATTTTACCTTATGTTGTAAATGATTTTATCTTATGTTGTAAATGATTTTACCTTATCTTGTAAATGAATTTGTTTGATATTAAGATAACCAACAGGTGAGAAGGGATCATAAGAATGAATAACTTTCTCTACATCATCTCTGAAATATATATAACATAAAGAAATTTTTAATTACAAAACTCACACAGATACACATGATTATAATGTTAATTGAAATGAAGTTTAACATCCTACTTTTGGGCACCAACTGGGTTAATGAAGACAGGCATAAGCTCTACAGTGGGCTATGAGGGAAATTTTGCCCTGACAGTGGTGTTTCAGCCTACTCTTTATTGAAATTCAAATGTCTAGGGTTCTTTTACGTGCACTCCAATGAGAAGATGGGTCGATCATGGTTTTCTGTGCCATCAAATGACTACTCAGTTTTTCCTTGCCATGCCTTCCGTCCTGTATCACTGACAAGAGGAGAGGTCATAACGTTAAATCAACAAATCACTGATAGTTTTATGGACACACAATATTAAAATTATTATGTTTACTTTTAGTATAGAACAAATTCAAACAAATTAATAACAACATGATATCAATTTGGTTACTACTATCATACATTATAATTTTCTTGTTGAACAGTGGACAATCATACGTAAAACTTTCAAATTCTCCTCCTTCTCCACAAATATTTACACCAAATTTATCACTCTGAAAAAAAAAACCCCACTTTAATTAGAAACACGGCCAAGGTGAAATATTTATAAAGTTATAGTTTTTGGTTCTGAAACCAGCCAACTAAATCAATATTATCAAGATTATTTATATATAATTTGAACTTTAACATATCATATATAAATTGAAATTTAATGTTCTTGTTTCACTCATACTTGACTGACTTGCAAAGAAACAGAAATAAAATAGGATTTAACGTCCTACTAACTGGGATAATTAAGATAGGCATGTCATGCAGTGTGCTGTGAGGGGATTTTTGCCCTGACAGTGGGTTCTTTTACGTGCACACCAATGTGTACATGGGACCTTGGTTTTTGTCCCTTGACAGGCTCTCCATCTTACACCACAGATAAGGGGGGAACTTCCCCGATGAACTCTCATGCCAATGCAGGGATTGCACATGAATGGGACCTCCAAGTTTACAAGCCAATGTCTTACTCACTGAGCCACCGTGGCTCCCGCAAAGAAACAGACCCGCTGGAGAAATTTCAAAAAATTAACTTTAAAACACAATAAATACAACTAGTAAATATAAAGTAATTTACCATTTTTAACATATGCGGGTAGATCTCCTCTAAGGTCTTGCCTAAATGTTTGTTGGGATCTAAACCTAAAACAAGAAATAACATAGTTTGAGACACAGACATTAACAATACAATAATAACACTGCCATTAACTATACAAAAATAACACATACATCAACTATACAATAATAACACAGACATAATAATAATACTGTTCCTTTAGCTTACATACAAAACATAGCAGTGTATAGCAGGCCAGGAAATAAGGCACCCATCACAGACATTGTCAGGAACAAATTCAGGTTTTGTCTGGCACAATCCCTATCTTACCTGTCATTTTGTCCAGTACAGATTTGTCTGTTATCAGTCTTTAAATGATATTTATAATAGACATGTGTGGCACAAAATTCACAATTTCATGTAGGCCTACAAGTTTATTGGTGAGTGACCATAGTTGCTGATACATGCTTGTCTACACTCTTTAGATAGCTATATACCCAGTATGCATGTGTGACAGGTATAGCTCCGGCTAGGATTTTAAAGATGCAGAGTCAGCCATAAAGGCGCTCTACTAGCCCAATGGCAATAGGATATACACAATGTTTACTGGCTTATTTCCCTCACACACACCATATTTACAAACAGATTAATACAACCTTTTACACATACACTTACCTAGTGAAGCCACTTTAATAATAATAGCCTCTACTTTACAGTTGATCATTTCTTGTAGCAATTCTTCTTGATCTCGTCTCCATAGATAGGCTAGAGATGTTAACCCCAGTCTTTCACATCTATCAAAATAGAGTAGAAAATAAAATAATGTATAGCAGAATTCAGATTGCATAAAACCTTTGTAAAGTTACTTACATGTAAGTTCAATACCGTAAAATCCCAAATAATTCACTTGTGGGTTAATCAAGGCAGTCCAAGGCTATAATTAATAGTTGCTATAGTAATAAAGGTAAATTATAAATTGATATAAATATATGTGTTTCTACTTACACATTTTCTACTCTTACTCTCTGATAATCTGATAAAATGGCACCACATGATACACCCTCTATATGTAATTCACTCTGAAATAAAACATAAGACAATTCAGGTTAGTTTCGTGTAAAATTTTCTGCTCCAACCAGTCTAATGATAACAAACATACGCCATGAAGTGTGCTATGAGAAACTTGGTTACTTCGGGACTAACATATGGTTCAATTCTATTTAAATAATCTGCTTGTGCGTAGGGGTCTTTAGCAGTGGGAGGAAACCGGAGAAACCGGAGAAAACCCACAAGCTTGGACAGGCAACCCTATTCCTTGTCACGTACAGCTGTGGAATGGAAAACACGCCAGCTAACTCAGTGACAGACCTTATGATACAGTGCGCACACTAACCATTCTGCCATCCACCCCCACCCCCCTTACTCACTGAGTCACTGTGGTTCCTGTGACATCATGGTAATACACAGACAATGTCAGGCACAAATTCAGCCTAAATTCCAGTTAGTTTTTTCCTGTGTTTTATATAATTTATCTTTATACATGTCCGACACAAAGTTTAAAATGTCAGGTATATCTAAGATCGTTATTTTCAAGTCTGACAGGAGTCATGATGAACCTTGACTTTCGATTGTCTTCAGACTGGAAGTACTATAGGAGATTGTTATGATACTGTTGGCATGGTGTTTAGACTTTTTCTTTTTAAAAATACAATAATATTGTAATTATAGGGAAGGCTAAGAGGGTACAATAAAGAAGGGAGATAACCAATACACTATATTCTGTCTAGTTTAAACCAAGTGGTTCAAGCGACAACTATAACACACACATTGTAATTATATTTTCAATTATATTTTCACTTGTACATTGCTTGCTTATTTCTAAAATGTAAATCCATTCCAGAGACAACTATAACACACTTACTGTAATCATACTTTCATGTGTACATTGATTATTTATTACTAAACTTTAAATACATGTATCTATATCTGATAGGGAGAGGGGTTTAATATAGGCTATGTCTGTTCCCCAATATCTATTCAGATACAAATCTGAATAAAAATATTGCTTATAAAAAAAAAAAGTTTGCAAGAATGTAAATAGAACTTCTATTTACCTTGATAGTTTTTAATAATTCGTACAAATCCTCAACTTCATCATCTTTTGTTGGCTGATAATATCTATCTATTTGTTTCGATCTACCTTCAATTGTTCTTCTATATAACGGTAAACTCATAGCTTCAGCATACATCTCTATACCATGATGACCAACAGTCTGATACATATAACTATCAAGCTCATCTACTCAATATAAACAAAGATACATAATCTCCCATTTAATAGCAACATATATGTATATAACTATCAAACTCATCTATTCAATATAAACATAGATACATAATATCTCCCATTTAATACTAACATACATGTATATAACTATCAAACTCATCTATTCAATATAAACAAAGATACATAATATCTCCAATTTAATACTAACATACATGTATATAACTATCAAACTCATCTATTCAATATAGACAAAGATACATAATCTCCCATTTAATACTAACATATATAACTATCAAATGAAATGAAAGGCGGTTTAACGTCCTACTTTTTTAAAATGAGAAATATAGGGTTTCAAATCTTTCCAAATTTTATTAATATTTTGACAATGAAAAAAGAAAGTCAATGAAAAATATGAAACTACTTGATTATAATCTATACACTATTATCGAACATAAATGCTGATAATGAATTTGGGAGAACATGAGGATTTTAAACTTAAGTTAAGAATTTACTCAACTTACAATAACAGTTCATGAGTGATATCTTTGATCCAGAAATACAAACATTTGCACATAGTTTCTTATTGATGTATTTGATACATTAAAACAACAATTTAATTAAAATAAGGCAAACAATTTTGAGTAAATTCTTAACTTAAGTCTGAGAATGTTTTGTGAAACCTGGGTTTGGAGCATGCTGAACTTATTAATACATGTAAATATCTATATCTCACCACAATCTTTTGGTTTAAGATTTGCTAATGCTACCAGTTGATGTCCTTCTGCCACACACTGCATCATATTATAACAACTGTCTTTACCACCACTGTGTAATATAGATATATAAATTACAAGACATTAACCTGTTAACTGCGTAGTTGTTAAAACGTTAACTACCCCCTATTGTGTAATTAATTTGACGAAAAAGGTCATTTTGGGACCTTTTTATTCCTGAATACAAAGGTAAGTGGCATGAAACCAAATTAAAACTAACGGTAAATAGAGTTGTCTCCCTTCGATTAGATTTCTTCGACCAGACGTAATATAACGTCCTACACATGCTGCGATCGTATGTTCGAAGAATAGGTTGGAAAAAATACCTCCAAGGCGTTATATTACGTCTACACACAGTGAGTGGGAGTTGTCCAGGACGTTATATAACGTCCTACGCAGTTAACGAGTTAAAATAATCTAATAAAACAAACCAATAACAA